TGAGGATTTAGTTTGAGTGTTCCATATTATTATTTAGGGAAAGAAACAGATGATCTCTGGTCTCAGAATCTGAAAGTGAAAACTAACAGTAAATACCCTCAGTGAGGGGTGCCTGGGTGGCTCAGTCGTTAAGCGTCTGCCTTCAGCTCAAGTCATGATCCCAGGGTCCTGGGATCGAGCCCCACGTCGGGCTCTCTGCTCAGTGGCAAGTCTGCTTCTCCACTCTCCCACTCTCTCTCTGTCAAATAAATAAATAAAATCTTAAAAAAAAAAATACCCTCAGCGAATTGAACTAAAAATAAAATTAACCTCATAAAAACATTTTCTTCAGTGTATCCTATTGAAAGTATTTTCAGTTCTCAAGCTAATGCAACTTATTCAGTGGAAGTATCAAAGGTACTCATGACTTTTTGTTTTTTTCCAGCTAGAAGATGATATCATAGCTAAAAAGACGTACTTTACAAAAATCACAGATTTTGTGCATAATATCACTTCAAAAAATTGGTTTTATATTGAGTTTTCAATGCTTGGATTCATAGGTAAGCAATGTATCTATTTTTTAGCACACAATAATCTTAAAAGTTCTTAAGAACTTATCAGTTTGTTAATAAATGGAAAGGAATGGCATGATTTCTATAAAGATACTTTTAATTTAATAATAAGATCAAATTCAAGTATCTGAATTTCAGAAAATGTATTTTTAAACCAATTTTTTCCTAGCTGGACAATATAAATTAGCAGGTTGATTTATACATAATATTTTAGAAAAATGTAAGGAAGATACCACCTAAGTGCTTGCTGAGAGTCTGCAGGCTCAGTGACTAAGGTGTACTTCTCTATTTTACATAAAAAATACTTTCAGTTTATATAGAAACTCAAAGAATTAAAGTTCTAGAGAAAGGAATTCTAACTTAGGACTCCCGTACTCTAAATTCCCTGTAATTTCCAGTATGCCAAAGCTGACATACTTAAAAAAGCGTAAAAATATATGAATCGGCCCCACCACGGGAGAGTTCCTAAAATTGTGTCCAAGAGGGGATTTTTAAAAAATTTCTTCTATAAACTTCTTTTTCTTCCTTCCACTCTTTCCATCCTTCCTTCTATTCTTTTCCTTTTATTTGAACTTCGAGGTAGCAAGTTGAATGACCTTACTCATTTCATGGTGCACGTCATCGTTTCTTCATGCAGGAGCCCTCTCTTATTTTATTTTTTCATTTTATGCCCATTCCCTACTCCCACTTCTTCCCACACCCCAATAGGTTTGCACTCTACTCTGTTCAAAGTATACATATAAATACGCATGTATCCATGTCAAATACTTGATGTTTATCATGTTTGTACCTGTTTAAAGTTTACATAAACGAGTGATGTGATAAGCCTATTCATGCCCCTTACATTTTTTTCCTCAAAACTAGATTTTAAAACTGCCAACATGTCAATTTATGTCCATTTAGTTTATTGTTCCTCACGGCTGTTGCATAAGCCCTATGTAATAATCCATTTGATTTATCCATCCTCAGAGTAGTTGACCTAAATTGCTTCCAATTCCCTGCTGCCACAAAGAAACGAAGTGACGTATTTGTCCCCGGGAGCAGGATCACTGAGGATGAAAGTAGCAGTGTCTCTGTGTAGCCAGATTGCTTTGCAGATTGGCTGTACAGTTTATACTCCCTTAAGCAGTGCGTATGGGTTTCTGTTTCCCCATATGCTTGACAACATTTGATTTTATCCATTACATCTTTTTTTTTTTTTTTTTTTTGCCACTGGGAGGAGTGTAAAGCATTTCTCTGACTGCTTATGAAATCTGTTATTCATATACTTACTTGATCACCTTCTTTCCCATACATTTTTTATCAAGTGTTGTAGAATCCAGTTTTAAGACCCCAAAGATTTTTACTCAGCTTTGATTTAAATAAGAAGAAAAATTATAGGTAACAGTAATACCCGATAAACTTGAAGAGGAAGTGTTTTGTTGATACATTACTTTATGAACTATAAATTCCTTTTTCTTTTTCTCGCCAAAGTCAGGTATGAGAAGGATAGAGAATATTCACATTCTGATCACAAGAGCACAATGAACAGGAGCACATATATGTAATGCTGAAGTCTTATTTAAGCTTAAGTTTACAAGGGCTTTGTTCTCTGTTGTTATAATAATAACAATTTTCTTACTCAATATTACCAAAAATATGAATTTGCTGAACAGAATTTTATAGCATACTGACAGCAGATAAGGAAAACATGAATACTGAATCAACTGTTTCCATCATTAAATCACTTGTTTTGGTCACTATATAAATGGGTGCCAAAAAATTAAAATACAACTATACATTTGATTAAGTAACCCATACAAACTCAGCTCCTAGTGAAAAAAATGAAGCATGCTTAATTTCTACCAGCATGTTTATTAAATGGTTAGATGTATTTTATACTATTTACTTTAAAGTGAAAATTTACCTGAATTTTATACCTTCAATTTCATTTTAAAATTAATTTTAAAATTAAAAATGCAGTATATTAGAAAAAAGGCAATTGGACCTAATGAAATATCCTACTTTAAAATAGAGCAAATCTTTAAGAATCACAAATACAAGATAGAAGTAAAATTCATATAAAAATGATGCTCAAATACTGAAATAATACTGTATTCTAATCAAAATTAAGTACTAAACATAAAAAATCTGGTAGATAAAGTTCTACAAAAGTCAGGTTATAAATCAGTTTCTGTAAAATTAAGTAAAAGATTATAGCTCCTATAATTTTCATTTTATTTATCTTTTTAATTATTATGTATGTATCTTTCACATGATTTAGAAAATTGATCTCATTGGTTATCAAATTTGATTACCTGACAGTATTCACTATTCTAAACCTGCTTCACACTTTCCTGCCCAGAAATGGTAATCCTTAATACTTAAGCAGATGTATTATTTTGCTTTATTATCCTTCAACTTCATGAATACTTTAAGCTTTATTTTGAAGGAATATATTTAATTTTTAATGATTTTTTGGTCCTTTCTCATGTTAATAGAATGAATGGCTATATATAAGCATTATTTTATGATATATTGTTATTTGGATTTGTAAACACTCAAGAGTTATTTGGATTTGTTTACTTTTTCTCCATAGGAAAGCTGTTTAAATCTGAGGACTTACTTGACTTTGTACATTTTTTTTTAATGTTCTACAAAGATAAACCCATAGACTTGCTCTTGAGGGACATTTTTCAGGTAAAGATGTGTAACCCAGGAGAAAATCCTGTGAGTATTTCTTTACTTTTAAATGCAAAATATTTTAGGAAAATACTATCTGTCTAATGTAATTCCCTAAAATTTGCTCACCAAACTAAACTTGATGAGTGCATTAATTTTTTAACTTCTGGTATCCAGAATTTTTACTGACACTTACACGTACTAAATGAAGTAATGAGAGGCCACAAATTTAGTGAAAAGTAGAAAAAAAGAGACAAAACCAAACAAATAATAAAATGATGGATGTAAATCCAAGTATGTCAATCTTTACATCAAATATAAATAACCAAAATATACCAATTAAGAGAGAGTTCATCAGAATGGATTAAAATGGATTAAAAAACACTATGCAGGATTAAAATGGATTAAAAAACACGATGCAATTACTTGCTGTCTATACTTAGTTCAAATATAAGTCTCCCTCTCCCTCTGTCTGCGAGCTCTCAATCTCTCTCAAATAAATAAATAGCAATACAGAAGGCCAACAGATACATGAAAAGATGTTCAACATGACTCATCATCAGGGAAATGCAAATCAAACCATATTGAAATAGCACTTCACACTGGTCAGAATGGCCAAAATAAAAAACACAAGAAATAACAAGCATTGGCAAGGATGTAGAGAAAAAAGAACCCTTGTGTGCTCTTGGTGGGAATGTAAATTGGTGTATCCACTATGGAAAACAGTATGGAGGTTCCTCAAAAAATTAAAAATAGGATTACCATATGACCCAGTAATTCCACACTGGATATTTACCCAGAAAAAACAAAATACTAATTGGAAAATATATATGCACCCCTATGTTTTTGTAGCATTATTTACAATAATCAAATTATGGAAGCAGCCCAAGAGTCCATCAACAGATGAATGGATAAGGAAGATGTGATATATATACACAATGGAATATTATTCAGCCATAAAAAGAATGAAACTTTAACATTTGCAACAACATGGTTGGAACTAGAGAGTATAATGCTAAGTGAAAAAAAATCAGAGAAAGACAAACACCATATGATTTCATTCATGTGCAATTTAAGAAACAAAACAAATGAGCAAAGGAAAAAAAGAGAGATACAAACCAAGAAATAGACTCTTTGGGGGAGGGTCAGAGGGAAAAGGAGAGAGAGAATCTTTCTTCTTTTTTTTGTATTTAACCCTTATTTATTTTTATTAATTTTATTTTATTATGTTATGTTAGTCACCATACATTACATCATTAGTTTTTGATGTAGTGTTCCATGATTCATTGTTTGCGTATAACACCCAGTGCTCCATGCAGTACGTGCCCTCTTTAATACCCATCACCAGGCTAGCCCATCGCCCCACCCCCCTTAAAACCCTCAGTTTGTTTCTCAGAGTCCATAGTCGGAGAGAGAGAATCTTAAGCAGGCTCTATGCCCAGCGTGGAGCCCGACCTCACAACCTTGAGATCATGACCTGAGCTGAAATCAAGAGACACTTAACTGAGCCACCCAGGTGCCCCAAGAAATAGATTTAACTATAGAAAACAAACTGGAGGTTACCAAAGGGAGGTAGGTGGGGGGATGGGTGAAATAGGTGAGGGAAATTAAGAGTACACTTACCATGATGAGCACTGAATAATATATAGAATTGTTGAATCACTACATTGTACACCTGAAACTAATCCAACTCTGTATGTTAACTATACTGGAATAAAAATTATGTTAACTATACTGGAAAAAAAGACATCTGGGTGGCTCAGTCAGTTAAGCATCTGACTCTTGATTTGGGCTCCGGTCATGATCTCAGGGTCATGAGATCCAGCCCTACATCTGGTTCTGTGCTCAGTGGGAGTCTGCTTGAGATTCTGTCTCTTCCTCTCCCTCTGCCCCTCCCCTCTGGGTGCTTGCTTGCGCAAGCGCGCACACACACTCTCACTCTGTCTCTCTCTCAAATAAATAAATCTTTAAAAAAAATTGAGTATATAAATTTGAGATGCATTTTTATGAATTTTTCTATGTATACAGTATGTAAAATAATTCTCAACAATCATAATAATTTCAGATGTTTGCTTCTTTTTTTTTTATTGTTATGTTAAGCACCATACATTGCATCATTAGTTTTTTGATGTAGTGTTCCATGATTCATTGTTCGTGCATAACACCCAGTGCTCCATGCAGAATGTGCCCTCCTCAATACCCATCACCAGGCTAACCCATCGCCCCACCCCCCTCCCCTCTAGAACCCTCAGTTTGTTTTTCAGAGTCCATAGTCTCTCATGGTTCGTCTACCCCTCCGATTTCCCCCGCTTCATTCTTCCCTTCTCTTCTTCTTCTTCTTTTTTTTTTTTAACATATAATGTATTATTTGTTTCAGAGGTACAGGTCTGTGATTCAACAGTCTTACACAATTCACAGTGCTAACCATAGCACATACCCTCCCCAATGTCTATCACCCAGCCACCCCATCCTTCCCATCTCGCCCCCCACTCCAGCAACCCTCAGTTTGTTTCCTAAGATGTTTGCTTCTAATAGGAATGGTGTCACAGGTCATCTTTCTTATTTTTATTTTTAATGAGATTAACCAAATCTTTTTCCATAAAGTATAATATTGGTTCTTTGTTTAATTATATGTTTTTTTTTTCTACTTAAGAAGAAATTAAGGAGGATGTAACTCAGTGTAGGAATTAATGACTATAAAAAGAGAAAGAATAATGTACTTTGAGAGAAATGGATAGAAAAATACGAAAAAATTTCATCTATGTTATTGAAATAAAAGGAAGGGAGCAGAAAATTATAGTTGGTACAACAGTAGCCTGATTTTCTAACACAGAGTTCAGGAAAATAACATGCTTTAACTAAAACCTTTTTATATCTCAACTTGTGTTTTATTATTCTTATGAAGAAAAAGCTAAGAAAGTTTTATTTAATTTTTAAATATTAAAATAAAACTCTGGCAAAAACTAATATAATACAAAATTCTGCCATCCATAAATGCAATAAAAAGGAGTGTGTGGGTTGTTACAGAAGAGTGTTGTTTCTCTTATTTTTCCCTAGGAAAAATGTGCAGAACGAAATAAGCAAATTCGTATTCGATATAAACCTTCTCTTTTCCAGCATGTGGGTATACAGTCATCATTCCCTGGAATAGAACAATATTCCAAAGTAAGATTTTGAAATGTATCTTGAGTAATATTAATACAATGTCTCATTAACTTATAAAATATTGTTTAGAAAAGGAGTGATGAAAACAGAATAAAATATGGTTGTTCAAACATAATTATCTTATGACAACTATACGTTGTGAAGAACAATCATTTTTTCAAGACCCAAGTTATCTGTCATGGTAAGAAAAATCCAGTGTATGTAAACTTCTTTGCCTTACTCTTACCAGCTGTGCAGTTCAAGTAATGACTACAAACGTGTTTTAAAAATCATAATAAAATTCACTGTTTTAGTCTAATATTTAAAGTTATAGAAGAATATTTCTAAATAAAATGCTCCTATTATTGAATTTAAATGTATCAACATTCTTGTTTCAGATCACTGTTTACCATATCAACAAAAATTCAGTCTTGTTTGATTTTTAATCAGTCTTTAATGTTCCATCATTTTTTGGAAGCAATGTTACTTGTCATTGACTTAGCATCTTGGTAGAGTAGAAGAAGCAAAGACTTCAGAGTCAAAACAACTAGTTTTTAGTTATGGTGACCTGTGTACATGATATTGGGCAAGCCCTAACACTCCTCTGTGCTTTTTTCATCTGTAAGAGAAGCTTAAATTAGATGATCCTTAAGATGTTTTCAGCCTTTGAAATCTCTCCTTTCTTAGTTTCTTCACACAACAAAGCAAATGATTGCTTTAATCCTTTGTCAATTGAAATGAGAGAAATGCACATACACATATTCCCATCATTTCGTTCATTTTTTTACCACCTGCCCTCTTTCCACCTTTTCTACTCCTTATCTCCATGTATTTATTGCACTGCACTCTTTGGAACACTGAAACATAGTGTGAATTCAGTAAATGTTAGCTATTAGCAATTAGGCAAAGTGAAATTCTAGATTAAAAGTGTTCATTAAACAAAGCAAACAAGTGCCAGGAATAATGAAAATTTAACTATTATAAATCTTCATGCAACAAATAACACCGTGAAAATACATAAAACATAGCCGCAGGTGATGCAGAAAGCAATTGGATCTATGCCATTCTATTTGTTGGTGCTATTATAATGGGACTCTTTTCTTCCATTGTATTTTTTGCTGGATAAGCTATTTTAACCTTACCTTTGTAAATTCACAACAGAATAGAATATTTATCTAATCACTCATATTTTGATATTATAATCTAGCTTTTGTCCTTTTTTATGCCTCACTCCATGTAAAATAGAAATAAATAACAATTTAATGGTATGTCAAATGTGATTGTATATTTTTAAAATTTATATTATTTTAATTGTTATAATTATATTATTTTAAAATTTTCTAACAGGATATTTATTATTAGGAGTTTCATATTCAAATACCTTCTTTAAAAATGATCAGCATCATTCTTTGGAAAAAACGGCATAATAAGGATTAATCTTAGTTCTCAACTTTCTTCATAGTGGATAAAGGACTATATCATATAAAAAAATTTAAGCCTTTGATAATATAGTGGTAAGTATAAAATTGATATATAGAAAATTATCAGATATTTGTTAGCTTTATTTTATAATCATGTTTTGTATTTTAAAATCTTATACAGATAACTTTCTGATATACTCTCTAATATTTTGTTTTAGAAGAATGAATAAGTATTTTCTTTTCCTTTTTTATCATATACTGTAGACATACAACGAATTTGGAGACAATAGATCTGAGTTTGAAGCCTCATTTTTTTTTAAGATTTTATTTATTTATTTGAGGGAGGGAGGATGAGCAAAGGGAAGAGGAGGGGGAAGGGCAGAGGGAGAAGCAGGCTCCCTGTTGAGCAGGGAGTACAATGCAGGGTTCATCCCAGGACCCTGGTATCATGACCTGAGCTGAAGGCAGACACTTAACTGACTGAGCCACCCAGGATCCCCTGAAGCCTCATTCTTATCAATAGATGCAACAATATGGATGAATCTCTAAAATTACATTATGCTAAATGAAAAAAGCCAGATGCAAAAGACTATATGATTCAATTTGTATGGAATGCTAGAAAAGGCAGATCCTGATATCTCATTATGATTTTAATTTTCATTTCTTTAATGACCACTGATGTTGAGCATCTTTTCATGTGCTAGTTGTGTGTGTGTGTGTATGTGTGTGTGTGTATACAGATATACACACACATTTTTATGAAATGTGGATTTTAATGAAATGTATGTATATATTTTGTGAAATGTCTTGTTAAGTACTTGCCCATTTAAAAAATTGGGTTGTTCACCTGTTTATTTTTGAATTGTTATAATTCCATATATAGGCTGACCACAAGTCTCAACTTACGGCTTGTTCTTTCATTTTCTTAATTTCATTTTCTTTTAATGAATGAAAGATTTTAACTTTGATAGAGTTCACTCCACCCAAACCTCCACCCTGTCCATATAGTTACATCTTTGGTTAGCTCACTATTCAGTGATTTTATAATGACAATATAAATGCTATTTACACTTAAACTATGTAATATGCTCTATTTTTCCTTTATTATACAACTTTTTTTTTGGAGTTTTAAATTGGCTTTATTTCAATGTACGTATCACTAATTCACCCTTAGATGCCCTGTGAATTATCTAAATCTGTTCTTAGTATATTCAAACATTTTAAAAATCATGGATGAATGTTGAATATTGTCAAATGCTTTTCTGCATTTCTACTGTTTCTTAATCTTGAAAAATATCTCTCCTGCAGCCTTCTGACCAGTTCTAGCTGATATTTTAGGAACCAGGGGGTTGATTTTCTTGTTTTCTATATCCCAAATATGTATCATACTTGGTCCACGTGTTTGTTAGTAAAGCACACCCCCCCAGTAATTTCTTGAGAAAGATAGTGTAGGAGGTGAATTCTTGGAGAACTGAAACATCTTAAAATGAATGCCGTCTGTCAAACTTAATTGTTAGGTTGGCTAGGCAAAGAATTCTGAATTCTTATTTTTGAAGGTATTCAAGAGTGTAACCAATGAAAAGTAGTTAAAGCCATTCTAATTCCTGTTTCTTGGTATAAGAACAGTTTTCCCATCTGTAAACCTTTAACATTTTTCTTGTATTTAGGGTTCTACAATTTCATGATGATGGTATGGGTCTATTTTTATCGATTGTGCTTGATATTTGGTAGGGCTTTTTAATCTGAAAACTCATATTTGGATTCTGGAAAATATTCACAAATTACTTTGTTGATAAATTTTCTCCTCTATTTTCTATATTCCTTTTAAGGAACCTTATTTCAAATGTTAGATTCCTTGGGTTGATGTTCTCTCTCTCTCTCCCCTACTTTCCCTTTCCTGTTTTCTTTCTATTTGCTTCACTTTCTGAAAGTTTTTCTGATTTTCATCTTATATCCTTTTTATTGGTGCTTTTTTTGTTTTTGGGGTAGTTTTCATTGATTGGTTGGCTTTTGTTTTTGCTATTATAGCTTTAATGTCTAAGAACCCCTTTTGTGCTCCTAATGCCATTGTCCCCTTTTATAACACTTGGTTCTTATTTTATGATTGAAATAGTTCCACTTATCCCTCTGAGGATTTTAATAGTTTTTTTTTTTTAAGATTTAAAAAAAAGTTCTTCCTCCTGCATAGTTTCAATTTCCTCCAAGTTTTTTGTTGTTGTTGTTCTCTGTTCTTCAAGTTGTTGAAGGGTTTCCTCATGTATGTAGTGATCATAGATTGTATGTTCAAATGGAGAAAGCTGGTTGGAGGCTCTGAGCGCAAGGCTGAACCCATCAGTTTCACTGACAGAGGAGTGGCTAGGCTCTTTCCCAGGAAATCACCTTAGTGCCTCCCAGTCTTGCTGCATGGGCTAATCAAATTGCTGGAGAATTTGGGAGCCAAGTGGGCAAAGATAGCTGGGGCTTTCAGTGTTCACTTTGTCAATATTTACTTATTTGTTCTGTTTTCTCTTTTTTTAAGATTTATTTATTTATTTATTTATTTATTTATTTATTTATTTATGGGGCGGGGAGGGGCAGAGGGAGAGAGAGAATTTCAAGCAGACTCCCCATTCAAGTGTGGAGCCTGTCAGGGGGCTAGATCTCATGACCCTGAGATTATGACCTGAGCCAAAATCAGGAGTCGGACACTTAACGGATTGAGCCACCCAGGTGCCCCTGTTTGTCTTGTTTATCATTATTATCCTTACCCTGGTTTGAGTCTAGATACATACCTTATGTTTGCCTTTTCAGAGAATTACCCTTCAAGAGTGAAGAAAAGATAATTGCTTGGATCTGTGGGGTGGGAGAAGATATTTAGTGCTTTATCCACCGCTGCGACTTGCAAGCCATCCTCATAGTTTTGCCCCATCTTCACCTCTGTTTCTAGCAGTAGTGGGGATTTCTGCCCTGCGAATTGTGTTTCTCTGCTTCCCACTGGCTGCTTGAGATACAGCTCTCTCACACCTCCATTTGGTTACCATTGTCTGCTTTCCCATTCTGTTTGTAAGATCATGTATCTTCAACTGGCCCTTATGGTTAAGCGTGATTTCTAGAAAGAGTGAAAGTTAAAACTTGTGTCTGATTTGCCATCTTTCCGAGGCATCCTGCTAGTTCATTCTCGAACTTTTACTCTTTGCCTCATTTGTTTTTGAACTTCCAAAAAGAAAATCTTAATTTCCAGGACTTTCAGTTGATTCTTTTTATATACACAATATCCTTCCTATCATTCAGAGAAAATCAATTACACTTAAACAGTAGTCTATTATGTAATGTGTAATTCATTACTTTAACTGCTGCCTATACTTAGTGTCTGTTGTTAATTCTGCATCATTGCCATCCTCCTCTCCACTCTCTGCTTCTCGGGGGAGAATTGGGGGAGTACACCTCACAGAATGTCTTTCCCTCACAGAGTGCCGTGTTAGATTCTGTCAGTGAGAGGTACTCCCAGTAGACCTGGAAGATGGTGGCCGAGAGGGCAGCAGACGCCTGGACAGGAAGTTGAGTTCACACTTGCTGCCTGACCAGCTGAGACCACGGGTGGCTTCTCCTGGCTTCCAGGGTTCTGAAAATGGCCGCTGTTCTGCTGAGGATTTCTAGGTTTCCAGAAGTGGCTTCTTGACCTTTGCTCCCCTAATCCTTCCAACAGTTGAGCTCACCTCTAGTTTACTCTAGCTTCATGAACCTGATTTCTTTATTCAGAATACCCCAAGTGTCATCTGTTTCCTTGACTGGCCTCAGTTTCTCAGGATCTGCTGCTGCTTGTGTTTCACCACCCCCCCCAACTGAAATTTTGTTTCTTACTCATTGGGACTCTCTATTGTTTTGTCTGTGAATGTTGAGTCTGTTTTCTGTAGCTTTCCTCTAGTATTTATGGGAGGAATGGGCAGTCTACAGCTCACTCTGTACAGATGCTTTTCTTCTGAGTAGGGAAGACCCCATTCTTTTTGGGTATTGTTTTCTTCTCCACAAACACCCATACTCTATGCCTCTGCTGGGCAATGGTCATTTGATGTCTGCTGCTGGGCATAAGCATGCATATCCCAACTGTGACTCTGCAGCTAATTCCAGTGTCCCTGCTTGTTGCCCTATATCCACCACCTCTGAGCTTGGGTCATCCTTAGAGCCATGCCCACCTTTTTAGTAGCTGGCTCCTTTGTGTTTTGGAATTTGAATTCCTCCCCTTCTAGTCCAGTCTCATCTGCTTTCCATTTAACATTCCATCTGCATGGTGTATATGGATGGAAGTGTGTTCATGCAGAATTACCTTTTGACACTTCAACAGCAAAAGAGGCCTATAATGTATAATCAAAAGTATGCATTATTTATACACAGGCCACTTCATGGAAATGTGGGTGCATTTCCGTGAAGATAACCCTGCATTCTATGCATTTCAATTAGACCTGCCTCACATTAAAAGGTGCTTTTCTTTTTTTAATGGGACTGAGATCAGCAAAAGTTTGAAGAAGATACCTCAGCTGGCAAATTTCCCAGGAACCTGTATCTGTTATGCTCTCAGTCACCTGTCTTTCTCTTTTACTAGCTCCTTTCAGAATGTCTCCCTTCTTTCCTTTAAGAACAAGAAGACCACCACCACCTCATAGTTTCCGTCCCACGTTAGGGATTAGAAATGCCTTCAGCATCCTCCACTGCAACCACATTTCACTATCAAAAACAATTTCAGGGAAATAATGAGCTGTCCATTTGCTAAGACTTTTAGATATTTAAAATTAGATGTTTCCAAACTGAGGAAAGAGTTGCAGAATGGATTACCCCTTTCACTTCCCAAAGGCTGTATTTCAAAATGGATTAAATTTAATTGTATAAAATTTTTAGCTTTGTTTATATTTTTCAAGCAATATGCACATATCTGGCTAAAAATTAATAAAAAGAGGAGCTTATAATAAAAGGCAACAACCCCCTACACTTCCCCAGCCCTATCTCACTCACCAGAGGCAATGACATTTCATCAGTTCTGGTTTAAATGCCTCTGGTAGTTTTCTTTATATTGCTAAATAATATGCTTATGCTACTAATTTTTATTTATCCACATTATTTTTCCTGCAGTACAGATGAATATTTAGCTCAGATACTTATTCATTTTTATTATGTCTTAGTCAGTTTCAGCTGCTAAGACAAAAATACCACAGACTGGGTGGCTTAGACAACAGAAATTTATTTCTCACAGTTCCAGAGGTTGGAAAGTCCAAGATCAGGGTTCCAACATGGGGGCTTTTGGTGAGAGCCCACTTACTGGTTTGTAGACAGTGTCTTCTAACTATATCCTCACATGGCCAAGAGTAGAGAAAGCTCTAGTCTCTTTATCCCCTTATGAAGGCACTAAACTCATTCATGAACCCTCTGGACCTAATTATCTCCCAAAACCCCCATTTCCAAATACACTGAAGACTTAGGCTTCAGCATATAAATTTGAGGAAGGGGACACAAATAGTTGATAGCATATTACGACTTTAATTATTTTGCCCCTTTCTTTTCTAAGTTCTCTTTTCTGAAAGAATAATCAAATATTAAACTTACTGAATTGATCTCCTATATGTCATAGCTTTTATTTACTATTTTTTTAAAAGATTTTATTTATTTGAGAGAGAGAGCACACGGGAGAGAGCTAGAGAGAACATGAGCAAGGGAAGGAACAGAGGGAGAAGCAGACTCCCCGTGGAACAGGGAGCCAGACGTGGGCCTCTGGGCTGAGGCTTGATCCCAGGATGCTGAGATCACGAGCTGAGCCAAAGGCAGACGCTTAACCGACTGAGCCACCCCGGCGCCCCTTATTTACTATTTATGTCACTTGTTTTTCTATGTACTAGGGTGGGTTCCTTGACAGATTTTTCTCATGAATGTTTTGTTTTTATTTTGTTCCTTTTTTTCCTACCATCTACTTGTTTTGTGGATACAATTTTCCTCAAATCTCAGAGTATTAGATCTTTTCATGAAACATTTTTAAAGTTCTCTTCTATATTCTGAATGAGCTGTTTTTTTTCTGTGACCAGATCAATCTGCTTGTCTATTTTGATCTGTCTCTGTTAGGTTGCACACTTCTCTCAAATATTTAGAGATTCTTGGTTGTCTGGTGGCAATATGAGTAACTTATTTCCTCTTCCTCCTGTCCCCTCCCCCGACACTGCATCTATCTTCATATTCCTTTATAAAATTGAAAAGAATGAGATTTCCTGAGAGTTTTTGGTACATGGGTAGAATTTGTTGGCTTACAAACCCTGTTTTAGAGTATGTGGGTGACTAGGTTGTGATTGTTTTGTGTTGGAGTTTTTTGTTTTTTGTTTTTCTGTTTTGTTTTTCCAGTGGTTTGAGAGAATGGGCAACAACATGCCAAAATATAGAGAATTTTGTTCTGGGGCGTTAGTTCATGCACTGCCTGAGCTAGTTACATCCAGGTGGCACATCCAGCTTTCCTTAGAGAAGAGTCTGTATGTGAGTTGCCTGGGACGTAAAGTCCTTGCTCCTTTTGTGGGCTGTGGGTACTCCTCACACAGACCCACTTCCTTCTCTAGGTTTAGCCCTAGTTTGGCTCCCATCGTTCATCGAATTTGCTGTCTCCATTCTAGCCCTGTTCCTGGTGCTGAGGTCACAGATTTCTCAGCTCCGCTGTCAGTCCCCACTCTTCCATCAGATTTATATGTCTCGCTAATTTGATTAAATGTCTCCTCAGCTGAGAGCCCCCTCCATTCTTTACGTTGTTTGGAGTTACATCTTTTCTGCCCATTTCCTATCATTTCGGTGGGGTCTAGCTGTCCACCACCTAGAACCAAGAGTTCGGATATTACATTTCAACTTTTTATGAATTTTAATTTTATTTTTAATTTAATTTTTTAAAAAGATTTTATTTATTTATTTGACAGAGAGAGACACAGCGAGAGAGGGAACACAAGCAGGGGGAGTGGGAGAGAGAGAAGCAGGTTTCCCGCGGAGCAGGGAGCCCGATGCGGGGCTCGATCCCAGGACCCTGGGATCATGACCTGAGCCAAAAGCAGATGCTTAACGACTGAGCCACCCAGGAGCCCCTCAAATTTTAATTTTATTAAGTAGAATAAAATTTACATTCATGACTTCAGCGAGATAAATGTCACCCTTTTTTCTTTAACCAGGTCCAACTAGCAACACTTGTGTTGCTACGCTTTCCTTAATATTCATTTCTTTAAGTCTTTAAAAAAATTTTATGTAAAATTTGTTCCTTAATCAGTTAAATTATATATTACACTTCTCATAAAACTTTATTTTTATTTTTATTTCTTTTTGAAGATTTTATTTATTCATTTGAGACAAAGAGACACACAGAGAGAGAGAGAGCATGAGCAGGGGGAGAGGGAGAAGCAGGCTCCCTGCCGAGCCAGGAGCCCGATGTGGGGCTCATCCCAGGGCCCCGGGATCATGACCCGAGCTGAAGGCAGACGCCCAACCATATGAGCCATCCAGGCACCCCTCATAAAACTTTTTAAAATGCAAGATAAATTTTCTATAGCTCATTAAGGAGAAAAAATAGTTTGGTTTATTTCTATTCATCTAGCTTGTAGTTAAAAATAATTTAATAAATGAAAAACTTGTCTTAGTGATAAATTTTCTAGGTTTTAAGTTTAAAAATTTTGCCTATGTCATCAGTTTAAATGTTCTTTATCATTTCATGTCCTAAATTTGTAATAAAATAAAAAATTTCTTTTAGAAACAACTAAAATATTTCTGTATGAATAATTTCTGAAAACTCAAAGTAATTAAAGTTTTGGGGCACCTGGGTGACACAGTGGGTTAAGCGTCTGATTCTTGGTTTTGGCTCAAGTCATCATCTCAGGGTTGTGGGATTGAGCCCCCTGTCGGGCTCCACACTCAGCGCTGAGTCTGTTTGGGACTCCCTCTCTCCTCTTCCTCTGTCCTTCCTCCCCCCACCGCGCTCTCTCTCTCAAATAAATAAATAAATCTTTAAAAAAAGATAAAGCTTTTCTGCTGATAAGCAAGCGAATAGTGTGTTTCTATAATTTGCTAGTGCTTCATCCTACATGAAAAGTTATTTTTGTTTTACTGCAGCGTACTGGGGTGTTTCGAGGTGTTGGAAGTAGGGTTACCAGATAAAATACAGGATATCCCACTTAACCTCGAATTTAGTTAAAAAATAACTTTTTTTTTTGGTATGTATGTATTACCCATTTGTTTTATTGCTGTTGCTAAATCTGGAGGTGCCTAATTGGAGGTGATGGAGGGAAAGAAGTAGATGGATATTTCCCATCAAAATGCTTTAACTGGATTATTTGAGTTTATGCTTTTGACTTTTATTAAAGAATGATATATGGCATATTTGCATTTTCTTCAAAACTGTTATTTCAAGTTTTATGTTTCTTTTCTATGTAAAGATACATGTGACAACTTTCTCTTAGAATTTGGAGCTAGAAAAAAGATACTCTTTCCCAAAGAATTGTCATGATTCCTTTTGCCCATTATGGATATTTTTGTTCCCTTTGACTAACAAGAAATTCAAAACTAATTTCATATGAAATGTAGTACTCATAGTATATTCACAGCAAAATTTCTCCAGTTCTAATTTTATATTACTCTCAGATTTTCTTTCATATATTAGTGTTAAAAGATTATTATGTCTTTACTTTGTTATCGTAAATCTTTTCAATATTTATATTTTAAATTATAAAAATAAAAATAAAGTGAATGTTTAAAAATATCTGTACCTTATCTATAACAGTTTGTTGGCTTAAATGATTATCCAACAATATAGACTTCCCAGGTATCCCAGGGACGGAAGTCTACTTCCAAAAATTTTAACACCAGGACAGTATTAAAACTGATATTGTCTAATACATCTTAAGAATCGTGTCTTTCACCAATGTAAAATTATCTTCTCTACTTGTAAGGGGAAAGCGTGGTCAAAAGGATAGAATAAGGAAAGAACGTTATCAAAAATCTTCATGAAAATAATTATATCCTTGTGAATTAATGTTATTTCTAGATGTTACAGGTTTCTTGTTTTTATTTCAGAAAATACGAAGATAATAAGCATAACAAGAAAAAACTCTGTAATACCTTGGAACCTCAGATAACCTTGCTTTCTCATGGCATTTTTCAGAAATGATAATGAAAATTGTATTGAAGAGGAGAAAACAGTAAACAAACTACTCGGCTTGAAAGTATTAATAACTACCTCTTATGTCAAGAAAAATTAGAATGTTTGTTTATGATGTTTGTACCATTACTATTACAATTTAGTTTAAAAGTAGTAAAGGCAGGTAAGTTTTTGAAATTAAGAAATATATTTTACTGACTTAGATAGTGATGCCATCACATAGTCTCAGTAAATAGCTACAAGTTCAGAAACTTGCCATTGTCACAGACAGGTTCTGTGTAAATTGGCAAACGTTCTTACCCATTTTGTAGGACATCTAAAGTAGTAGAAAGCACAATTACAAGCAAGCCTGTGTCTGGCAGTGCACAGTATCTTCTTTTCTTTTAAATAAATTCATTGAAAACCATAAACTCACGCCTAAGTGCCATTTGAGCTGATTACCAACCTCTTGATATTTATGTGTTCTGATAGCCGTTCAGTTCTAAAGATCTATAATTTCTCTTATCACCTTTTTAGCTCATGGGTTATTTGGGAGTGTTTTCCTTTTTTTCAGATATATTGGTTTTTGCCGCCTTTTGCTGTTGATTTCTTATTTAAGTACATTGATGTTAGTGAATTTTATCTGTGTGATAATATTTGAGAATTGTTACGAATTCTCATGTTTCATGTGAATTTGAAAAGGATCTATAGTCTCTGTACACTCCCTTTAAAATACGTTGCATTCATTTGTTTTTTTATAAATGTTAGTTTTGTGCTTTAAAAATGCCTTCTTAAAATAAATTCTATTTATTGGGTGCAGTATTCTCTTACATCAGGCTTTTTAATTTACTTATTCAAGTTTTTTAAATTCTTACAAATTTGTCTGCTTGAATGATCTATCAGTTTCTTAGAGAAGTCTCTTAAACTCCCCTGTCCTTCTTGTTATTCTGTTGAGTTTTACTTTATTTATTTTGGGAAATAATAAGAGATGTTTCTTCTTCCTTCTGATTTTTCAATAAAATATGGAAATCATACTTTATACTGCTAGCTGTATTATCCATCCTTGAGTGCCAAAACTTTACATATTTACCTCAGTCTGAACTGCGTCGCATACCAACATATAAGGAGAATATGAAAGCTGAACTGTTCACATGTGTCTATTTCATTCTCCCCTTTTAGAAAAGAAGAAGCAATATGTCAAGTATATTTCAGTAAAGCCAGGGGGAAGGAGGAGAGAAGAAGAAAAGACATTACATGTCTGTTACAAAAATTTTTTGATTATTTTTTTAAAGATTTTATTCATTTATTTGACACACAGAGAGAGCACAAGCAGGGGGAGCAGCAGAGGGAGAGGCAGAAGTAGGTTCCCTGCTGAGCGGAGAACCTGATGCAGGGCTCCATCCCAGGACCCTGAGATCATGACTTGAGGCGAAGGCAGATGCTTAACCGACTGAGTCACCCAGGAGACCCTACAAAAATTTTTAGTTTGACTTAAATTTTGGACTGAAGTACTCTGAGAGTGGCAGATGCTAGAATGAAAAAAAAAAAGAAAGAAATTGAAGAACACCTTAAAGATTCAACCCCAATAACTGCTGTCCTTCATGAAATGATTCCAGGACAGAGAATTTGATAGCACAAAGCATTTCCAGAAAATGTTCATAGTACAGGCAGGAGAGATGCCCCCGGTTTCTATCCCCATCCCGACTGCCCAAATGCTAAATGTTTGGACTGTTTCACTCACCACCCGTGGTCTCTGGTCTGAGGTGTATGAGAAAGGGGCAATTTGGAGAACCCCTGACACCCATCTGGGATAGAGCAGAGCAAATAGTGCTTATTGCTTGGTTTGGGAATTTGTTTTATTGCATTCATAGTGATTTCACTGTTTAAAATCACTTTTCTTCAAGCATTCAGATGAAAGCATTTGATATATTTATGTCACTGACTCAGTATAGCAGATGAGTTTGTAGAAACCACATTCAGACAAGATCCTACCGAAATCTTTTTTTTTCCCCCTCACACACTACTTTTGTAGTAAATAGAAGCTCTGCAAACTTTGGAGACATGATAAGTGAGATTCTCTCAAGTATTGAGATAAGCTACCAACAAGCTACCATAATATGGTAATATTACTAATATTAGTAGTAATAGCAAATGTGACTACATTCTTGGGTAAATGGGAGTTAACCCTCTACCAACATAGGTGTGTAACAATAACTTGGGTTTTGTTGTATACTCTTAAATGGACCTTCCACTCTGTGGCAGAGTTGCAGCAAATACGAACAAATAATGGGAGCTAAATCTGGGCAAGCATTTTCCCATGAAAACTATCTCATATGTTTTTCCCCTTAATTACCTTTTTTCCTCCTAATTACATTTTTAGATGCTATGTTATTAATAGCCAGTCATAGGCAATGAATTATGAGGAAGTTTATATGAGCTGGTGTTTGTTTTGCCAATATTAGTTTTCTTTCTAAAAGCCCAGATAAAAATGAAGATTTCTTAGGAGGATTCAGTTTACTGAAATTGATGTGAATAGAGGCAGAAAGCATAAACGAATGAATTTTCATTGAAGAAATAAAGTTACTGAGAAATAACAAGCACAAAGAGACATTAGGCCTAGATGATTGCACAAGGGAACTTAACTAAACTTTGAGAAAACAGTCCCAGTGTTTTAAAGTTGTTTCAGAGTATAGCAAATAATGGAAAATTTACTAATTCTTTTAGTGATGTAAGTATAACATGAATACCTGGTCTTAATAATGATAGAACAAAAAAGAAAACCACAGACCTATATCATCTATGATGATTGATGCAAAAATCTTAAATGCGATACTAGAAATTCCTAAGCCACATGAAGAAAACAACATACCATGACCTGGTTTTTTGATACCAGGAGTGCAAGGATCTGGGTAGGATTCTTACTAATAGGTCTAAGGAGAAAAATGTGATTACCTCCACAGAAAAATGCAACACTTATTTTCTATAAGAATATTAAAATTACAACGAATGGATACCTTAACATGATAAAATTAAGGGCCAGATAAACATATATGAAAAATATATGTACTAAAAATTATTTGTCTCTATGAAATTAGAATCTCATTGAATGTCTTGTATTTTAATTTGTTAAATCTGACAGTCATAGATACCTCAATTCTAAAAATGGTTCTTTATTTAATGAGGAAACACTGGAGGCATTTCTACTAGCATCAGAAACAGAGCAAATGATCCCCACTGTCTCCAGGACTGTTACATTGTTCTGGCAAGGTTAGCCAATGAAATTTGATAAGAAAAAACGATTACAGGCATAAGAATTGGAAAATAAAAAATAAAGTTCTGTTTGAAGATAGCATACTATATGTGGAAAAACATAGGGGACTTAATCACAAAACTAATTTAAATAAAATAATTCAGCAAGATCTCAGGATACAGGTTTAGCATTCAAAAATGAGTAACTTCTTAAAAGTGATAATAAACCCTTAGAATATATGATGATCGAGAAAACCTCTTTTATAATAGCAGTGAAAAAGATATTTAGGAATAAACCTAAGAAGAAATGTACAAAACCAGGAAACTCTTGGAAGTGATGGAAGTAGTCTGTATTTTGATTGAGGAAGTGGTTGTAGAGGTATATACACCTGTCAAAATTCATCAAATTGTAAACTTTAAAGGAATGGTATTTTGTGTATGTAAATTTCAATGAACATCTAAAGATAAATGTGCAAAACCTATACAAAGAAAGCTGTAAAACACTCTTAAAGATGCAAGAGACTCAAGCAAATAGAAAGGCTTTTCTCTTCTTGGATAGGACATCTGATGTTAGTTCTTCCTAAGTTAACTTACAATTTTATTGTGATCCCAAAAGCTTGACAGCGCGTTCTGTTGGGTGAGGTTATGTGGAAATAAACATTCTCATACACTGTTAATGGGGATAAAAAATGATATAACTCCTAAGGAGGAGATTTGGTAATATATAAGAAAACTACATAGCATTTTAAAGCACAGTGAGGGGCGTCTGGGTGGCTTGGTGGGTTGAGCGACAAACTCTTGATTTCTGCTCAGGTCATGATCTCAGGGTCTTGAGATCCAGCCCCATGTCCGCTGGGCACTCAGCAGGGAGTCTGCTTGAGATTCTCTCTCTCTCTCCCTCTGCCCCTTCCCCTGCTCGCACTCTCTCTCACTCTGTCTCCCAAATAGATAAATAAATCTTAAAGAAATATATATATAAAACCACAACGAGACATCATTGATCGACCTCTGGAAGGGTTAAGACTGACCATACCAGGCAATGGTGAAAGCGTAGCATAACTGGAACTCTCATACTATATTGCTGGTAGGAACGTAGAACAGCTCAGCATTTTCTTAAACAGTTAAACATATGCCTACCATACATCCCAGCTATTCAAAATCAGTGAAGATTTACTATAAAATATTAGAGAAAGCTGCATGGTAAACCATCAATGGGGCAAAGAAGCTTATGATTCAATCCTACCTTTGTGCTATATTTTTATTTTTGGTGTGTTGATTAAAAGTACAGGCTCTGAGAGAGACAGACCTGGATTTGAGCCCTATTTGTTAATCAAAGGTTCGGGCAAGTAATTATCTTTAGTTCCTTCACCTGGGTTGTTGTGATGGTTAAATGAAATCATGAATGTAAAGCCCCTAGAGTACAGTGAGCGCAATAAATGTTACCAATTCTTACTAATAGTATTTCGGAAAGAAAATGTATTTATTATGTCAACATTTAATAGATCTATATTTATCATACACACCCACACGAAATAGGAAGCCTCCCCGAGGATCACAATGACTTCTCGTTTTTGTTTTTTTTTAAAGATTTTATTTATTTATTTATTTATAGGACAGAGAGAGACACAGCGAGAGAGGGAACACAAGCAGGGGAAGTGGGAGAGGGAGAAGCAGGCTTCCCGCCGAGCAGGGAGCCTGATGTGGGGCTCGATCCCAGGATCCTGGGATCATGACCTGAGCCGAAAACAGACGCTTAACGACTGAGCCTCCCAGGCGCCCCGACTTCTCGTCTCTTAACATATAGAATTCTACGAAAAGCCTGGGGTACTAAGTGGGCACTGTTCAGAAACGTGATTCATATAAAACTCAGGACCCATTTATGCGCAATAGCAGGCGGACCCCCTCTGAATGCAGAGGACAAGTGCTCCTCGTGGGGAGAAAGTCTTCGGGCTAATGAGGAAATCGTGCCCTGCCGGTCCAGGAGACCCGTCCACCCCACAACCGGCCGGCGGAGCTGGCGCGAGCCCCAAGGGCGCGCTTTATGGCGGGCTCCGCAGCTCAGGGCAGGCCTCGCCCAGCAGCGCCCCTCCGCGGCGGTTGAGCCCCTCGGTTCAGGTGCGCGCGGCCCGCGCCTCTGGCCACCGCCTGCGGCCGCACGCGCATGCGCGGTTAGCAGTAGCTGCTGAGCGGCCGCCGGCGGGATTGGTCTGGGGAAGTGCGGGGACCAAGTGGCAGCGACTCGGACATCTGAGCTGCCACTGCCGAAAACGGGCCCGCCGGACAGGTGCGTGGGCAGTAGGCCACTTCCCTGCTGCTCTTTGCGCTCGGGCTAGGGTAAGGAATGAGAGTCATTGCTTCCACGCCCAGGGCGGGGATTCCTGGCCGCACCCCTTTCTCTGGCGACCCGCCAGGCTGAACAGGTTGGGGCCGGGTGAGGGGCTGGCTTTTGAGTTCGGGGATGGAGGTACCCCGAGCGAGGTTCTTGGGTGCGCTCTCCCGGCCTCGGGAGGAGGAAAGCCAGCCACGGGTGGGGGGAGTTGATGCCACGCCGGGTCCGTTGGGTCCTCCGGAACTGCTGTGTCCACCCGCTGCGCTGAGGCTGGGGCTGGGGCGCAGGGAAGGCTGGTGCCTTCTCCATCCCGACCTGTCCCCGAGGGCTTGAGCGGCCCCAGGGAGCCGAGTCCGTTATTCCAGCGGTTACCATTTCAGCCCCGTTCCAAGCTCGAGCCCCGGCGCGCGCTCCCGAGGGATGTACGGAGGGCCGGGGAGTGTCTGGGCGCAGCTCACCCCGCTCGCAGTTTTCACGAAAACGTGAACAAAACCTAAAAAGGCTCCGCTTACGCAGTCCCCGCCTCTCTGAAGGCGAAGAGACCCAACCATCTTAGCAGGGTGGCCACTCCCTAGATGCGCTGCCTGGAGCCCGGTGTGCGCCGCCAGGGAGGGAGCGGGAGGGTTGGGTTGAATCCACTGAAGCCCTAATTACTATAGACTCATTATCGCCCAAAACCTGTTTACGATCAATTGGACACTTTAGCTGATTTTATTTATAGCATCGCCCGAGCAACAAGGAGGAGGCATTTGCTTGGGATTTAAAAAAAAAAAAAAAAAAGCAAGTGGCAACAAAGCTCAGAAGGGGGAGAGAGAAAGTGACCATGGGAAGTCTCAAATTAGAAAAAAAGTTAATTTATTTTGAAACTCTTTGGTTCATTAAAGCCATCAAAACCCTGATCTAGTCTTAAGATTTTGCTTGCTTTTAAAATTTTTACATCACTCTAGGTCATTTAATCACTCTTCCTTTGGTAATTGTAAATTGGCCTTTTTTCACTTTACATTTCTGCCTTCACGTTTAGTTGGTTTGATCTTCCAATACCATTTAGACCTATCCCCAAAGCCTTAGAGCAAGATAATCTATATTATCTAGTTGATAAAGTTAATTATTATGTATGAACCATGTAAGTATGTTGATGGATCTCTAGAAATTGAACAGTGTTATAAGTTAGCCTTACTGCTTTTCAGGGCCTAGTAAGTTTTAGTGCTCTTAATTAGAAAGTTAGAATTGTCAATTTTAATGAACCTTTAAATCATCTAGTTTGACCCTTTCACTTGACAAATGAAAAAACAAGCCCCAGGCAGTTTTAACCTCTTGCCTTTTTAATAATAGAACTAAGAGCTTGGTGTGATGGTGCCAAGTTCAGTGTACTTTCTATTATATCATTCTGTAGTTGAGTTCCTCCTGAAACTGCAGGACAACTAAAACTTTAAAAATAGTGATTTTCAAACTGTACTTTTGAGGCATACCAGTGTTGGGTGAGTCCTCAGTCAGCCATTGGAAATGAACAGCAGAAAGGCATCTCGGTTATAAGATACAGCATACAGAATAGCATTAATGTATTACATAGGTGAATGTTGAAGAGAGTGAAATAAATGAGTCTTAAAAGGACAGAATTTATGCTGAGAACTGCAGAGAACTGCTGTACATTTTTATAAACAGTAAAATAAGACTTGTTTTAGAAAACTCATGCTAGAGAGAAGGTGGAGGAAAGATTTAGAGATTGGCAAGACTGGAAGTGAAGAGGCAAAGTGGGAGTTTGCTAATCTACTTCAGAAATGATAGATTCCTAAATCAGGCTATGGCTTGGGGATAGAACAAGACATTTAAGAAATGCCCAAGTGTGTTCAGCTACCAATGACATAAGGGATCCGTGAGAAAGAATAATCTTAAGATAATGGCAAAGTAACTTGACTGGTTTACTTGACTGGAGGTACAGTTAGTTAATGGAGAAAGAGTGTTCAGGAGCTAGAGAATCAGGTTTGGGAGGAAAGACTAAGTTCAAATTAGGAGAAGCTTTGGGATATCCTTGAAGATGGATAGTGATTTGAAATTAAGGAGTGACTTTTGAGCTGCGGATAAGATTTGTGAGTCCCTGGCTAGCTTTTATAGGTAGAAGCCAAGAGTATATGTCTTGTGAGAAGAGGGTCTGGGGACAGAACTCTAAGGAATAGCAACATTTACAGAAGATTGCAGAAAGTGCCTGTGCACAAGGCAGAGAAAAGGAAGAGAATCAAGAATCAGGAATGGTGGGGCACTCGGGTGGCTCAATTGGTTAAGCGACTGCCTTCAGCTCAGGTCATGGTCCCAGGGTCCTGGGATCAAGCCCCGCGTCGGGCTCCCTGTTCCGCAGGAAGCCTGCTTCTCCCTCTCCCACTCCCCCTGCTTGTGTTCCCTCTCTTGCTGTGTCTCTCTCTGTCAAACAAACAAATAAAATCTTAAAAAAATAAAAGAATCAGGAATGGTGACAAGAAAACCAAGGGAGGAGATGGTTCCAAGAAGGAGGCAGTCAGGAGGAACAGTAAGGCAATAGAATAGAAAAATGTTATTGTACTTATCAGCTAAGACTTTGTTTGTAGCAACGGTTTCAAAGAAGCTATAATCAAGGAGCTCAGGAATAATAAAAGTATTAGTTATCATGGCTGCCATAACTAATTACCACAAATGTAGCATCTTAAAGCAATACAAATTTATTTTCTCTAGTTCAGTAGGACTGTCCGCTGAGGGCTGTTTTCAGCCTGTAGAGACCACTCACATTCCTTGGCTCATGGCTCCCTTCCTCTGTCTTCAAGGTCTGTCTGGTGGGTGGAGTCCCTCTCGCTCTTCATATCTCTTCTACCCATCTCTCACGGACTTCCTCTTCTACTTTTAAGGGCGCATGTAATTGTATTGGGCCCACCTAGATAATCCAGGATATTCCTTCTATTTTAGGGTCAGCTAAGTAACCACTTTAGTTCCGTCTTTAAAGCCCCTTTTGTTATGTGAGGTAACATTCATAAGACCCAAGGGTTAGGGTGCCAACATCTTTGGGGGGTCATTATTCTGTCTACAATAGGAAATTAGAAGTATTAACAATTAATGAAAACATTCTTTCTAGCTTTCCTTAAAGAGAGGAGATATCTAGAAACATTTATGTTATCTAATATGTGATCATTATATTTCCAATAGTAAGCCAGTTATCTTCTTAAATATGCTGAAATTTATGTAAGTACTCTGTAGAATTTAAAGGATCATACTAATGTTGGTTTTCATATTTTTATATAACCTTAAATTGCTTTAAAAGCTTTGCTAGAAAGATTTTAAAAGCCATTTAAACTATATATATATGCATAAGTCGTAGTTTGGATACATATAGAAGTATGGCTTTTCAAATATAAAACCCACAGAAACTGGAATGTATGTCTAAAGGATGGAATATAAAATATTTAACTTTATATTTTATAGACCTAGAACTTTAATCCCATTTGGTGAGGATTAAATTATTAAACCTTCTAACCTTAGAGCCTTAATAAAAGGAATGTATAGCCTGAAACTTGACCTAACTTTGAGTTTTCCCCCTCAACTTAGCAGCACTCTGTATTCTTTTTTTTTTTTTTTAAAGATTTTATTTATTTTTTGAGAGAGAGAGAATGAGAGACAGAGAGCACGAGAGGGAAGAGGGTCAGAAGGAGAAGCAGACCCCCCGCCGAGCAGGGA